TTCAGGCCTTCTAGCCCACTGTAGCTAGTCCCTGGGACAACGGATTTTGAGTTCTGCTTCGACTTAGTGATTTATTTAAGTTGCTTTGTCACTTAGAGAGAGGATTAGATTGGAATAATAACTATATTTTGGGTTTTGGATTAACTTGGGTTCCAAACTATAAGGGTTTCGGCATCAGAATACAAGTTCTTCGGTTTTGAGGACTGCTAGCCTGCCAAGAGTGCAGCTAGTCAAGCCTAAGTGCTTGATAGACTTAGTATTTGGGTTTCAGAGTTCATTGGGTTTCGGAGTATTCTAAGTTGGTTTGGAGCGCAATTTGGCATTGATTCTAAGTCCTAATTATACTTAAACATTGTTATAAACTACTCTCATGAGTATTGCATCTTTGAAAGCAAGATAGAGTTAAATAACTGTCTTTATTGACTGTTTCTTTGATTTTACTTAAGACTGCAAGAGTGCTTCTATCGTACTTGAAACAACTGACCTCAACCATATTTGGTGATTGTGTATTGAGTGGTTAGGTGTTGGTGTTTGAGAGTTCATTCCTCATTCACTTCACTTAGTCACTTAGCTGTTACCAAGCACATTATCATATGGGAAATTTGTCTTTAGGCAGTAAGTGATTCACATTCCGATAGTTCTCTAATACTCAACAGGTGATTACACAAGTCTCCTACCTGAAGGCATGCAGGTATACATACCGCCTTATTTCATCCATCATAATCCTCAGTATTTTTCACCTTCCTCTGACAAGTTTGTTCCTGAAAGATGGATGACAAGTTCAGGCTTTGCAGAGAATCACAACCTGGACATGTTTATTCCATTTTCATATGGACCTGTGAGCTGTATTGGGAAGAAGCTTGCTATGGAGGAGATGATAATGTTGATGAGTCTTTTGGTGCAGAGGTTTGATATGCGTTTCGAAGAAGGATTTGATAGTGGGGCTTGGCCACTTGGTATACTTGACTATTTCGTAATGACACAGTTGAGACTTCCTGTTGTGATGACCCTAAGAGCTCAGTAGGCTGACAAAGTACTTGTGTTTTGACATCGGCACCTTTCTTGCATCTGGAAAATGCATCTTCAGTATATAGCCATATTAGACCTTGTAGTGCATATAGCCTTAGAGCTAAGTTCATGATATTGAATGCTATATATCTCTCTAGTCACTGTCATAGTCAACCATAGCATGGAGCTATGAGCCCTATAGTGCTATGCCTGCTATGGCCTGAGACCCCTTTCACAATCATTTTTCCATCTCTCTGTCCTTCAAAGCCATCAGGTACAAGCATCCCAATCAAATATGAATAGAATAGAAAAGGTTATGACATCATATTCACAATTGTGTATAGTAACATAGCAAAGAAACATCTGCTAGTAAATAGTTGATATGAATGTCCAAGTAATATTTACATAGTAGCAGCAGGCTCTGTATAATTGGTTGCAAAATCAGCAGCACCTAAAACCAAACCATCTGCAGTTGGGATATCCTCACTCAAATCTTCCTCTGAAACACTGACAGCCAGTCTGAAGAACTATCAGTCAAACACAATGATCTATGAATCAATTGTGCTTACCTTCCCTGCTTGAACAATTCCTTGTGAAGGTTGACAGGTACATCAGGCTCCTTTCTAATATCTCAGCAGGATGATTCTCATCCTTTCAGGCTTGCCAAGATGTCATTATATGGCTTCTCATATGTCAGTGTTTGGAAAGACATGCCCTTTGGTCATGCTTGCCACTTTGTTATTTATCCAGTGCACACAGAATCTGCCATATGAATAAATGTCAGTGAAAAGAGCTAAATGTCTGATTAGACATTGTCCTGCCATAAAAATGAGGGCAATCACACTGAAAGGAATCTCACAACTAACACTGAAGAATGAAAGTCCTTCTGACTTGAGTCCATCATTAAAATAGACTTATTGATGGTGAGAGAAAGAAGAGGTGACTCAAACAATCCCTGAAGATTTACATAGTCCTTGATTCAGATAATGATTCATATGGCCTGAGACTTGTGGGGAAGCAAACACACCTTATAAGTGAATATGCTACAAGTCTTCAAGGCTTTGACCAGTGCACAGTTATTCTCAATAGCAGAAGCATCTTGCAGGGGTAAAAACTTGAAACTGACATTGGAATGGCCAACAAATAACCAGACTGCAGTCTTAATTTCACCTTGGTGCTGTGCCCATTGCTGTTTGATCTTGTGGGATAGCAAGCAGTTGAGAAATACATGATTATAATAAAGTAGACTCACAACTTTGAGCTCTTCAACTGTGGGATTTGGATGGCCCTGATAACCTGTGTTGGCAATCAGATAATCTAATTGCATGAACCATGCTTTGAGAGTGGCTTCATCAGCAGCATTATCCTCATCATCCATCCAAGGTTTTATAGTGATGAGAATGAATCAGAAGTGAGAATAGCTACTGTTCAGAATCCTTTGGTGTGCCAATGTGAGAGCAGATACCTTCTGCTTCTTTTTCTTGGGCTTGACATCAATGTCAGTCTCTTGACTCTCCTCCTTCTTAATATCTTTACAAGCATTGTCAGTGGGTACTTTGATAAGGTTGTCATCATTCATGTGCACTGCATTGTGCTTGCCTAAACTTGATGCAATCTGAGCCTGAGATATATCTGGTAGTCAGTCACAGATTAAATATAATACTACATGAAAATACTAGCCAGATCAGGTGGTATTATGGGAATGTTTCTTTTATTTCCAGCTCATGGAGATGATCTGTCTGGCTCCTCTGCATGGCTGCAATACTTGAGATTTCTGGCAGAATGAGTGGATGTCAGAGTCAAGCCATTGCTTTGGACTTCATAGAGCAGTTGGGATGAAGGCAGCCTGATAGATGTAGACTGGATCTGTCAAGACAATATAAGACACCAGTAATACTCAATAAAATCATATATATCAGATATTAGACCTAAGATCAGAAAGCCATCCAGGCCTGCAGAGAAAAGATCATTTTCATTTGCATTAGGATAACCTTAGACAGAGATTCAGAGGATCTGGATGGATTAGGTGATTTTCCAAATCTATTACATTTCCCATTTGAATTCATATACCCCTTGGGTTTAGAAGTTGAAGTCTTCAATGAGCTTGATGAAGCTTCTACATTAGAGAATCTTCTCTTGCAAGAATCATTTTTCTCATGTGAATAGGTTTTGTGCCCACCAGTCCCAATTTTTCTTTCCTTGGCTGGTTTCTGCCACTGCCATTACTATTAGAATGATCATCTACACTGCCTTCCAATGTTTTCTTTTCCTTAGCTTGCTGGGATGTTAACTCAAGTTCAGCCATTGCAATGAACTCAGCCTCTCTGATGATATGTTTCCACTTGTATACTTCCCTATTTAACTTGGCATGATGTAGCTCTCATTGCATTTTATTACAGAATCTATCCCAGAGCCTTATAGTTCACTTCTGCTTGCTGGTCACTTCTACAAGGTTCTATAAGGTTTCCAACTCATAAACATAGTCAGAAACACTATGATCATTCTGATAACACCTTTTAATTTTATCACACATCTGAATATGATAATTCATAGAGAAGCAGAAATTGAAAACACCTCAAAGGAATTCTGTCAACATCTACTGAGCATAATTCTTTGACATCTTCTGGATAAAGAAGAATAATGCTTTCTCTTTAAGATAATGTGAGGCCAGAAATACTCACTCATCCTTAGGAATGTGTCTCTCCTTGCAAAACTGAGTGAGTTCTATTGAAAGCAGTTGAAATTTCTCACTATCTGCTGTTCTATCATAAGAATTTGATGGAATAGAGTGAGTAAGTCACTTGTAGGTTCTGAAATGGTGTCAGTGTCTACATCATCAATAAAAATGGTGTCAATGATGTCTCTTCAAGTGGTTTACAGATTCTTTAGATGAGAAGGTGTCAGAATCATATGATGATCCTTCCTCAGATGAAGGTGTGGATGCCTCTGAGTCAGAACTTAATGAATTACTATCTGATAGTGACAACAGTGAGTAATCTGATTCTGACTCACTTTCACTATCTGATCTCTCACTAGACAATGAGGAATGAGTCTTGCAATAGTATTGCTCATTTCTCTTGCAATTTTTATTTGCCTTCCACTCTGGCAATTGGTTATGAGGCTTCTTGAATTTGTGCACCTTCAAGATGTTGGCCAAAATACTATTACTGGGTTACTGATCTGCCAGTTTCAAAGACCCATGCTGACTACCATGATTGCTGGTTGATGGAGTTTATAATGTTTCTTTCATGGCATTCTTCATCTTATAGTATATTTTCTTAGCCACTAGTAGAACTTCTTTTTTTCTGAGGTTTCCTCCATCTCTAAGTCATCAAACCTAGTGCCCCTGGAGTTCTTATCATTCATACATGCTTCAGGATTCTGGCTAGACTTAGATTTCTAATGATTTCTCTTGATCTTTTAGAATCTGTCATCATCCTTTTCAGATTGACTATCCTTTTCTTGATTGATATCATGAACTTGATTCCACATTTCAAAGGCTTCCTTCTGAGCTCCAATATCTGGCTCAGATTCATTGATTTTCTGATTGTGGTCAGCAAATCTTTCCTTTGCAATTGCAGAATTGGGTCCACTCATAAGATTCTGCATTTTAGATCACTCCCAGTGCTAATGTCATCTTCTTAGAATATCACACTGTTTCTGAGTCAGATTCTTCTCTGCTTCTTGGATGACCTGTAGTTGCTCTTAGATGAGCTGCTGTCTCTTTTAGTATTCAGTGATAGGAATACTATGTTTTCTTAGGTCATTTAAGGTATAGTGTATTATGACTCAGTGCAGTGAGGTTGTTTAGCTAATTCTATAGCCTCAGACTCACTCATGGTTCTGTCATCAGCATTCACATGATCCAATATATTATAATTAGTCACAATTTCACTATGTACATCCTATTATATGGTCCTAAATCTGAGACATCTGCTGTTGGGGCTTCTTTGGGTCTAACATCCTCCAGTTCTTTTAAAGAATGGGAAAATTTTTTCTCACCCTCTAACTCTATTGTATAGAGAGGGGTTAGTTCACACAACTGTCTTTGCAGTTGTAGATTTGTGTTAGACTCAAGCATTATGTGAACAGAAACACATGATAAACAGAAGTCTCCTTGCACTTCAGGAGATTGACTGAGTTCACTGATGCATATTCTGATCAATATGTCACAAGGTCTTAAATTAGCTTGAGTGTAAAATAGTGTAAGAATAAACTTTAGCTCAAAGCTGGGGATTCCAGTAAGAGTGAGCCATCTTAAATACTGTATAGGCTGTTTTAATAATACTAATACTACCTATTATGTGTTGCTATGTTCTTTGTGCTCTTTGTTCCTGAGCATCACTATCATATATAAAAGACTGATTGTGCTTCATTGGGCAATGCTGTTGTGTCAAAAGACAATGCTGGACTCAGTCATTTGTGATGACTAAGTCTTATCTCACAGTCTTTAAGTGCTGATTTAGGCACCTTGACTAAGCATAAATAGGGGTTAATCATTGAAGAAAATAGAAAAATCATAACATTACCTTCTCTTTAAAACCATCATCTCAATAGCTTAATTTAGAAATAATTCATAGTCATGAATAGTATCATTGACATTCATGTACTTTTCATTTATCTATTGATTTGACTCTGGTCTATATTCCTTTCAGCTGACTAGATAGTCAATTGTAATTGTCATTCTCTTACCATAGGCTTTGACTTTATGAAGCTTGTGATTTAAAATCTGATCAATTTCATAATGCTCCTCATCATTAATCAGATCTGAGGGTGGTAGTGAGAGGCATTTTTAATTTGAGAATGTCAGTGTGATATATGGTATTAATAATGTCTCATTAAAGATGTCATGGATCTTCCATGTGGCTGGAAGCTGTAGTCTGTATGCAGAATCACTGATTTTTGCTAGAATGAAAAAGAGGCCTGTTCACTTGTTGGTGAGCTTCTATTTTGGGCAAGAAAGATGGAGATTTGTCATATCCAGCCAAACTTTATCATCGACTGAGTATATATATA